CTGCCACCTCTCACTACAAGGAAAAGCAACAGAGAGTCACTGTTGCCCCTGTTCCAGGAGGAAGAGATTTCAAAGAATCAATAGCAACAGAAAGTCAGGCAGATTCTGGATGGTCTCAGAGTCTTTGGATAGAAAAGCATTCTAGGGGAGTTGTGAAACTTCATTCTTTTCCCATTCTTACCTTGCGAAATTCTTCCTGCAGCCTGTTCCACATCAGAAATCTTAAGTTTCTTGGGTGCACAGAAAGAACCGGCTAATTGGAAACCATCCTGCCCTAAAATCCTTCTTCTAGGTTAGGTGTTCTGATTTTAACAGACTTCCCTACCAGAAGGAAAACTGCATACAAAGTAAAATTTAAAAGAGATGTCAACAAAAAGAAGGAACTGATGTTAAAGTGGAAAACAAGATGAGTCACGGTGTTTAATCTGCCTCAGGTAATCCACGTCAATTATCTAAGTAGAAAAGGCTCCTGCATGCTCCCCAAAATGTTTGCTCTTCTTGCAGGGCATGCAGTTCACACCCTAGCATCCCCGGCAGTTCACGGCCACCACAGGACTCAGGAAGGCCAGTGGAAGGGGGATACACCACCTGCCTGTGTGGACCATGCACACGGCTGGTGTGCGGTCCTCCAACCTCTCTGCTCCCCTCTGTGCTCACAGAATGCACGAGATGGGCCCGAGGACTCTGAGGCCTTGGAGCCTGGTGAAGCCACAGATGAAGGAGCACAGGTCTCCAAGTCTTTAGGTCAATTTAGATGACAGTGAATGTCACAGGAATAAGAATAAGTTTCAACAGTATTAAGTCAATGAAATTGGGGGGGTTGTTAAGAGTGGTTAGCCTATCTCACTAAAGAAATTTTCAAGCAACACACAATGGCCTGCTCATATATAAAATATTCAGTATAGAATCCCAGAATAACATGCTCATTCTTGGTCAAACTTAGAGTGATCAACCTGAGATAAATGACAGAGAGCAGTGAGGGGTGGTCAGTGAAAATAATAAATAATGCTACTAAAAGAAAGGTTGGAAGACTTGAGCTATAGATAAGGTGAACCTACATACCAGGTTCTCTGAGATGGCCCTGATATTAAATGTTCTCCTAATAATGATGTATCCCCATGGGGCTCAGAGAAAACATGCTCATGCTAAGTCATACTCGAAATTTTCTCAACCTCCTAAAGTAAAACATAAAGTGAAGCATTTTAATCTGACTCCACAATTATATTAATTTTGAAGACGGGCATCTCCACAAAGTACCAAACAAAGAGCTTACAGCGCGTTGACGATTACAGACACACCCACGGGGCACAGGGCCTAGCACTCTAAAGTGAGGGCGCTTATCAGGTTGCGCTGTGGATAGCCCTCCCCGGGAGTTTTTAACAAAGCCTGGTATAAATGTCCTGACAGACTCCCAGAGTCCCAGACAGAAAAGCTTACAGCGGCCAGACAGGTAGCAGGGCGGGGATAAAGTGATGGGGAGCCCTGGGGGCCTGTAAGGAGCTACAGCACAAAGCCACAGTGTGAAGGCATTCCAGTTCAGCATTTTTAAGACACAGTGTAGGATCTGCGGGCAGACTCTCCAAGTCTACGGTAGACTTTATTCACTCACTTGACAAGTACTGCCTCGAGGTCCACTGGCTATCTGAAATCCAAGATTTGGTCTAAAAGCTGTCTTGAGGTTCTGTCCCATTCTGCTAAGGAATGCTTTATGGTAAAATAGGATAAATATATGGCAATATAAAAAAAAAAGAACTTAAGAAAAAAAAGCGAAGTCAGGTTAAAGGTAGGGGAAGAAAAACACAAAGAACTCAAAAAGAAAATAACTTTTTAAAGAATACAAAGAGTTTAATGTGCATTAACTATAATAACATACATTGTATGAGTTCTCAGAAACATGCTAGCTAAAAACGTGCTAGTATCAGGAGCTAGAATTTTAAAAACAACAATCTAACTTTTTATTACATATTTGACCAAGAAGATGCTAGAAGATACGAAATGTCAGGTTTTGTGAAGTTCATTGACATGCTTTTTGCTATACATTTGGGCTTTTATCTAGAATTTCATAAACAGAAAACTTCATTAAAACTAATTCAAATTTTACAACTACTAGGAAAGAAAACTGGTAGAGGTGAACAAATCTCTCTTCTCCAGCGACTGGGTAGCAGGATTACTGAGTGGTAGGTAGTATCTTCTTGACCCCCTTAGGTTTGGTGAGGAAGCCGACCGTGAGAAGCTAACCGAATTGTCACGAGAAATGGTCTACGGGCAAGGTACTAAGATCTAGAGCCCTTGTTGCCTTGAAAGAAAACAAGGTAAATAAGTATAAAATATATGTTAGAATTAGAAAATGATGGTGGGTAATCAAGACAATCTTTGTTATTTCAAACAGCTTAATTTGAATAATATGGAGCATGTAATTCTATATTTGTTTTAATAGTAAAAGGTCATTTATTCAAATTTTAATAATTTGGTTTCATATATTATTTCACATTTTGTTAAATCTTGGCAAAACTAAGAAAGGGCTCCTGATGTCTATCACTGATGTCAGTAGCACTACAAAAACCATATTCAGACTCAGAAAATTCAGGACTTAAGTGTGTTCTCTGTAAACAAATGACTGCTGATTACACTCCATAGGCACATTCAGAATACTGTGTGCTCGAAAACAATCACACCGCCTTTATCACACAGATTGTGTAATTCACATTTCTGCCAACTTTGGTCTTCAGTGAGATCAAATCATTGACATTTTCATTGACTTTTTCAAGAGTCATACTACTGAGAGTCTGGAAATAATTGCTCTTCCTTCTGCAGGACCCTTTTATGTTCTTATAAATTCTTTATTTTCTCGATGCCTCACTGTAATGGGAAATTCAGGGTGGAGCTAATCATACAAGCCACCCAAGCCCCATTCAAGAAGTTCTCTGCTCTGAGTCCGAGTAAGGCTGAGTTAATGAAACCTTTCAGCCACCACAGGGACCTGGGCACAGCGAACTCAGGACGGTGTAAACCAAGACTGTGCTTTACTAGTAATTTTACTTACAAAGTTTTGGCTGTGTAGGGGACAGTAGTTTGTTTCTAGTGATGGTTTTAGATGTTTCTTACCTAACTCTGTTTCTTAAAGCAGTAAGAATATACTCTAATTGGTGAGAATTGTGTCTAAAAACTGGCTTAAAACTAGTTGAATTCGAAAACTGATTTTTTACGTACCTTAGTTTAAATTGGATCCTCTGAAGATGTATCTATTTCAAGGGCCGCATTTTCTTCCTAGACATGAAAGGGTTTAAAATTACGTAAGATTTTAATTTCTCTTTCTAGTTAATCAGTCTCAACCAAGGATTCTCAACCTTTCTGAAGTGCTGAACCATTAAAAGACCATCCAGTGCAGGCTCACTGTTACATATAAATTTCTATTTTTCAATTAATTTTCATAATTATGGCCTAGGCTTGAAATGATGGGGTAGGGAAGGGTAAGGGGCACCACCACCAGGAAATTAAAAATTAAAAATTAATTAAAAATTAAAAAAAATCATTTCAAATAGCCCACCCCAGGCTAGCCAGCCCTCACCTGTACCCCCAAGCAAGAAAGTTTCCCCGCCTGCTTCTTCCCTTCTGCCAAGTGTCAGCATAAGTCTAAAAGGGCAGGTAGGGAATAAGGGAGCCTAGACGTTCAGTCTCAAGTGTTTGCCAAAATTAATTTTATCGCACCTTCCCTTTTCCCTCCTTTACCCTCAGTGTCACTCACCCACAAAGTGAAGGGGACAGTGACCTCTAGTTCCCTCTTTTCCGGGTAGTTGTGTTGATTTACTCAAGAGTGAGCCAGGAATTCAGGGATTTTTAAACTCTGGGATACTTCTAAATAGGCTGAGAATTCCTGGTATAACCAAAAATTATCTAGCCTTAAAACCTTTTTAGTATTTTAGCCAGAAGAATAAAGAATTTAATTTCATTCAAACAGTATTTTCTAATGGTTAGTATTTGTAAGAAAAAAAAAATCATGATTACAAATGTATTTTCCTGTAGCACTACAACATGCAAATGATCTTTAAAGAGTTCTCAAGTTGAGAATTTTAGCAAATAAATTTCTAAAATTATTTGGCTAGGCAATTAAAATTATTGACTGCTATCTAAAACTCACATAAACAAAATATCACACAAAAACAGATTTTCCCGTCAATTTTGGAAATGTTGGTTCAGTTACGAATGCTTAAATTTCCCAGAATTTGAGAGCTGACCTTACACGTTCAGCACTGTGAAAATTATATCAATTGAGAGATGTCAATAGCTTCCTTCCATTTCCAGTTTCCCCCACAGGAGGGCTGTACTCCTATGCACCACTCCACATGTCCAAGGTGAATGACTGGGCTTAATGTTCTGCTATGTGAACAGAACTATCTGTGGCTTATGGTGAAGGCAGAATGATTTATAAAATATGGTAAGACTCTAAGTGACACAGAATCGAAGGGACTAGCAAGATTAAAGCACCAATTTTCTTTTCTATCATTTTCCACCCAGCTTAAAGCAGAGTTTTGTATACGTGAGGATCAGACTGAGCTATATAGTATAAATAGACACACATACACGCACACATAGACACAAAGCTTCAAAGTAATGATGGTATGACTCAAAAAGCCATCTGGTTTGTCAATTTCTTGTAACAGTATGAGAAGAAAACTTTTCCACAATGCTCATATAACAATTAAGTCGATATCCTCCCAGGATCTGAATGAGCTACTTCTTGTAGCTACAGAAATGCACAGTGGAGCGTTGTGCTGCTGGGCACTGATGCCACAGCACCATCCAGGTGCGGGGACCTAGGAGCCATGCTCTCTCCAAAGGACTATGGGGCAGCTCAGCACACATCTGCCCCGTGAACCTGAACATCTTTCACAAACTGTACACACATACGACAAAACACACACACACACACAGTACTCTTTTATTTGTAATCAAAATGTGAATCATCATCACTGTAGTGAATAAAAATTCATGAGTCAGAATAACATGCAATTTTTTTATTGTTTTCTAAATCTATTTGTACACTTAATACTCTAGTATTAACTTCACAAACAGCATAAAGAATGTACGACAATCTTAACAAGCTATCAAGCTGCATCTACTCACCGGAAAAAGAACAAAATATCGCCTCTGAAATAATTACTAATTATACAATATTGTGAACTAAAGCACTATAAATACTAAAATGTTAACATTTCAATATATAATGTCAATAACATCCTGCCTTTTTTTAATTGGTTAAAACCATTTGTTAAAGTCATGCGAAATAAACACTTTAAGGAAATGTTAGATTATTCTCAAACATCAAGGCAATGAAACCCAAACAGCAACTATTTAGTGCAATGACTGGTCAACTAAATAATTTATTCAGTGTATTAATAAAAATCTATTAAGTGAAAACCATCACAAATGTAACACTAAATTTGGGTAATTGCACATTCTACGATCTCACCATCTACGATCTTATCTGTGACTGAGGATATACTGCCAAAATTAATTCTACATAAATAGGCTAAGTTAAAACAACAAAAAAATTCAATGCATGATGACAGGGTCCACTTCTAGTCCATACAATACTTATATGTGATCATTCTCTTAACCCTGCTAACAATAAATGGAAAGTCTCACCAGTTTTATCTGCTTTTTACCCTTGCTTTGTTACATTTTAAAATATTTTAAAGAAGTATATCCTTTCTTATGGTCCTCCCCTGGGGTTAGCATGCTAGTTTTGGAATAGATGAAGTAGATAGACATACTCTACTCTGGCATAGAAGACAATAATTTAGTTTTACCTAATTAAATATTTCCTTGTCATCTGTCAAGTGACACTGACCTTTCTGATGTAATTATTTCCTTATTCTCTTGGTCCATGAATATTTATTAGAGCCTATTATTACCCATGTCTCCCTGATTCTCCAGAGAAAGAATTCACGTTTTTCCCTCTCATTGCTAGGCTAAGAAAAGTTGGGCACACCATTTAAGAGTCACAGGAGAGACCAGCATGGGTTCTCAAGCTGGTGGATGGTGCTTATAGCCAGGTCTGGGATTTGGAGGCGAGCCCACAGGCCACTCTCCTAAAAGCTCAAAAAGGTCTTGTCACTGGGGCTCTATTTTGAGCACTGTTCATTCATCTTCTTATCAATTTTTAAAGCCCTTGTTAAACAATATGTCTATTATATACAACACTGGTTCTCAATTTATAGAGCATTTAGTCTCTGGGCTACTCCATAACCTACAAATTCTTATCTTCTACCCTCTAAGAGCAAAATTTGCTTCTGGTTCGTCTAACACCATGTCTTCCTTTGAATATCTGATGAATGAATGTTGTACAAAAGGGGTGTCTAGCTTTCCATTTTCTTTGGCAAATCACGCCCTTTCTATCTAATAATATTTCTGACCTATCTTTATACTTAGATCTTGTCTCAAAAAATTTTATGGGGTTGTGTGCCAATGAAAGTTCCAATAACAACGAGTTTTTAAGCTTCTAATTACAAAGACAGCAGAGGCTGACTGATCAACCACCCTTTCTTATACTTTCCTCTGTTGTAGAGTGTATGTTTTTTTTTACCAAAGACTTTCCCATTCGTTAATTATTTGTGAATGAAATACAAAGATGACATGCATGGATGGTTTCACTATAAACTCAGGTCAATTCTGTCATGGGGTATAATACTATTCTGCTTTTGCTTATTTCTCTTAAAGAATGCTTTCTCTTTCCTCTCCGAAGCCTGCACTATCAGCAGAGGCCACTGCGTGAAGTTCTGAAGAATCCTTGGAGAGCCTTGTGTAACTTGAACGTTGGCTTCGCTTATGCGTCATGCTTTTTAGGTTTTCATTCTGAATAGCAGTTGGGTTGGAACTGGAACCAGGCCTCAGAATGACTTGGGAAGTCTCCCTCATTCCTTCCATTTCATCAAAATTCTGATTGGATCTGTTAGCTGGGGCACTGTTGTTGTTCAGAGTCACAGTACTGGGTGTTCGATTCAGATTATAGGCTTTTTGACACGCTGGCCAGTTTTCTTCAGGACTGCTGGCGATCAAGCTACATTCGGAAGGGCTTTTCTTGTCTTCAGAACAAATGGACATCCGAGCTATAATTGGATCTTGCAGGCCACTCAAGCTATGTGGTATTCCCCGTTTTCCACTGTGGCTATCATCTTCAAGCTCAATGAGATTTGCCTTTTCAAGCTGGGAATCATCAGCCCCTTCATTGTGAAGAGAGTGATTGGGAGAACTTTCGCTGGACCTCACTCCTGAATCGGATGAGTCCTTTTTGTCAAGGAGGGCATCTGACAAATATTCTTTTGCTTTAATGAAGGTTCTAATTGGCTCAGCACTGTGTTCTGGAGACTTTGATACTCTCTCTACTTTGCCTTCAATTTTTTTATCTTTATCATCTTTGAGCAGTGGAGTATTATCTGATTCTTCTGTCCCAGATTCATCCTCATCACTTGGAAGTTTTTGATAGCGCAGTCCACCTCCCTTAAGCTTCAAATCTGTCTGGAAGAGGCTTGACCTTTCTGAGGACTTCTTGCCTGGGAGAAGCTTACTACCTGACTGATCAGATTTCTCATCTTCTTCAGTAATAGGATCCAGGGGTGAGGCATCATTAGTGGAAACCCCTGATGAAGAATAATCTAGAACATCTCCCCTCTTCATTAAAAATGACTTCCTTCCATCATCTTGCTTTGGTTCACTATCCTTCCCTTTCTCTGGTTCTAGATTAGAATGAATAGAGCCCCCTGATGAACTCTGACCTATGTAGTATGTGCTATGTGGAGAAGACCTGCCGCTGATTGTTGTGGAGCCTGTACCCCCTTCTAACTGAGACATCTGAGCGATATATTCTCTATAGGCATCTCTATACTCGGCCTGCACCTTATCAGTAAGCTTTGAAATTTCAATACTGGAATCCTGGGAATTGAGACTCGAAAGACTTGGGGTTCTGCGAGTTTGTGACTGTGAAAACAGAAAAAAATAAATTTAAAAATTCAAATAAGCAAAAAAAAAAGGCATAATAAATATCAACTTAGGAAATATATATGTACACTCAGAATTTTTAAAGTCCTCAAAATACCAAATTCTTTTAAAAGAAGTCTACATAAGACAGTTTAATGAAAGCTGTGAACTTATGGATAATTTTACTGTTATTAGAAAGCTTTATATAAATTTTAATAAAGTTAGTTTATTATTAATATTTAAAAGTATAATTAAAGGTTGTATTAACAAATAATCTTAGCACCTATTTTTATCACTTTAAACTTTTAGCTTTTATTTAAGGTAAAAGTCACCTTTGTTGATAAAATATAAAAATTCCTCTTAGAAAAGACAAAGAAGATTAGAGTTAAGATATATCTCAAAAACAAAACGGTCAAGTTTTCAGTGTATGTTAAAAAGAACCTTTCTCTGGTGAGCACTGGTTATTGTATGGAAGTGCTGAGCCACTATATTGTACACCTGAAACTAATATTACACTGTATGTTAACTAACTGGAATTAAAAAAATATATTTTTAAATAGAAAAAAAGAATTATTCACTAAATATCTTTAAAAAAAAAAAAGAACCTTTCTAACTTGTACGACACAAGTTTCAATTGGGAAAATGTACTCTAAGTGTCAAAAAAATAATAATAATTTAAAAGGAATAAAGTATAGGGTGCAATATAAAAGACAAATACAGGATCCAAATCAACAGAAATGGAAGCCATGAGGCCAACAGTCAGGTCCCAGTAAACAGGGATATGAAGTATTTTTAAAAGTTTGATTTCCAATGTGAAGTTTTAGGATTAGAATTGCTTTAGATCTCAGAAAAGCTGGTAAGGGAGGAGTAAAGAATACAGATTAGGAAAAAGAGGAGTGAAATGGAAGAAAAAGAACCAAGGAAGTCTAAGAAGGGATAAGAGTAAAGGCTGAAGCAAAGAAGCAGAAATAAGGCCAAGAGTCTTCCTCCCATGGGAAGAAAACGACCCATCTCCTTGAGAAGGTCTCCTGCAAATGGATTCGGACTGTACAGACAGCGTCATCTCCGCTCTCAAATGCAGTGTGTACACACCACTTCGGGGACCCAGGAGGTCTAAACAACTCTCATCAGAGCATCACAGGACAATACCAGTGCCTCTCACTCTCATTCCCACCACCAGTGTGTCCAGTGGGGCTTCCAGAAGTCCAAGGTGTGTGAGGTCACAAGAGATTTAATGCAGAAGCAGATACGGGGGCAGTGGGTCTGGTTGCCTTCTATTGAGCCAGGCATCAAAGAGATTTGCAAAGCAATCCCATTTTCACTACAGTTTGTCTTGTTTTGGAAGATATTGCCATTTCTCATAAAAATGTTATTCATGTTAACACATAAGTGGTTTATTTTTAAATAAATAAAGTAATAAAGTATTTCTAAAGTTTCTCAGTTTTTATTTCTAATGTAAGATACAGATACAACTCACATAAACAAAAGCTCTCTGGGGTCTTCAACCATTTTTAAAAGTGCAAGGGGACTCTGAGATTACAAGACCGTTGGAGAGCTGCTGCATGGATGGGAAGGCTAGGAGTTCCCAGGTCACGGGAGGAAATACCAAGTGTGGAAAAGCAGAGGAGGAGGATTTCTTACGTAACACTAAAAGGAATCCCAGGGAGAAGAAAGGAAACACTGCTACAGAAACACAGGGACGAAAGGGTCAGGTGTGAGCTTATCTTCTCATAAAAGGGAATTTTTATCTCAGTCAGTACCCAATGATCAAATAGTTTCCCAACATAAAGAAAAAGGTACTTGGTAATATAAAAAGATACAACAAAAAATTGTTTTTAGTACCAAGCCAAACCAAACTGCCTTAAAAATCGCAGACCTACCAGGTGCTGCTTTTCCTAAATACTGCTGTCAGCACAGTTTCTCTGCAGCTACTTACTGCGTTTCTGCCCTGGCTTGTCTCCTCTCTTCTCTGCAACCTACTCTGTTTTTCCCTAGTTTATTTTTCTTATTCTCTCCTTACTCCCTCTCACGTGTCTCTCACTTTCTTCTTTATTCCTGATCCTCCCCAGGCTCCTGTCTGCTAAGAACATCCAAAGAAGAAAGTCACCCAGGGGCGCCTGGGTGGCTCAGTTGTTAAATGTCTGCCTTCGGCTCAGGTCATGATCCCACGGTCCTGGGATCGAGCCCCGCATCGGGCTCCCTGCTCAGCGGGAAGCCTGCTTCTCCCTCCCCCACTCCCCCTGCTTGGGTTCCCTCTCTTGCTGTGTCTCTCTCTGTCAGATAAATAAATAAAATCTTAAAAAAAAAAAAAAAGTCACCCATATCTAATATCAGATAACAGAAATAAAATGACTATCCATGGATACTGGGTATAGGTACTGACAACCAGATTATGCTGCTCAAAGGGATAATATATGGTAAATTTCCAAAATAGATGTATCTTAGCCACTGATGAATGAATTTAACAAGAAAATAGCAAGTGAACCCTGAACTCTGCTAACCAGCCTAACCAAAGCAGCCCAGTTCCCACTGCCTCTCTGTGCCATTACCCTAGTTTATTGCTTTGACAGTTCTTGCCAATTTCCAAAAAGATCTTTTTTCTTTGTTTTACTCACTGTCCTCTTCAGAAAAATACAGTTCCTTAAGAATAGGGAGCCCTCTGTCTTGCCCACTGAAGTACTCATTAAGTATTTTCTGAATGGCTACATAAATGCACCAACATATTCCCAGTGAATTAAAATCGCCCTACTTCTCTTCAGTAATATGAAAAATTACATTTAATAAATACCTGCCAACTTAGATTACTGTGACGTGGGGCACCTTCATCTAGGCCAAGTGTATTCAGTTCTTCAAAGCTAAAGTTCAGTGTGTAGGGAGTTTGATTGGAAAGCTCGGTATGAGGCAATTCATTGTGTGAAGAGCGACGAGCAGATTCACCATGAGGAACTGGGCCACTGTTGTTCTCACTAAGTAAACGTGGGTCTTCAGGGACCACTTGGTTTTCTGCATTTCTCATTTCTAGTACCTTAACAGAAGAAAAAAAATAACATTAATATCCACACTGAGCAATCACATTTTAGAAGCTTTAGAAATTATTTTTTAAAATAAAACATTATAGTTACTACAATGAAAATGAGAAAGCAGACTTCTTGTGAGTTTCTAATGAATTTGAAACATATCTGCTTATCTTTCAATTATACTAAAAGAAAGAATGGCAAAACCACCATCATATACGTATTGCACTCTAATCTGACCATTATGTTATTATTACTTTAGTTTAAAATTTAACTGGAGAACAAAACAGAACGCAACTGTAGTGTGTCAAAGAGAACCAGAGCTGCACAGTGGCTAATGTGGTGAAAGCAGATTCTAATCAGAAACTACTGCAATGGGCAAAAAGAGACCTCAGGATAGAAATGGCCTCAATCCAAAAAGCAGCATGGACGAGAAGGTATTTATAGCAAGCAGTGGGGTGGGGGTCAGTGGGTAGAAAACTGCTAAGAGGAAACATCAAGGTTAAGGGGGAATTCTGACTGAACCAACTTGACAGGATTCTCGCTGAAGGCAGGCCAGAGTGATCAGATATCATCTGGGGGGTTGGTGGGGAATGAGGAGTTTGATCACGGACCAAGGATGATCAGATAGTGAAGGTGGGAGTTGTTCCTAAACTGACTTAACATGATGATCCTTGCTAAAACTGGGCAATGCAGGCCTGACAAGGACAGACACCAAGGTCGAGGCCCAGAGGCTTAGGGAGCCTGACTAGAGGCAGTTCAAAGAGAAAGCCTTCGTCAATGAAAGCACAGAGAATCGGCAGGTCACCTCTTCCCCAAATCTCCAAGTGAAATGCCCAAAGAAAAGGTTACCACGTGCTGCTGTGTATATTCTGCATAACATAATAGACAAGGGTCATACTTAAGTGTAAAATGTATTTGTTACATGTTTTTTAAAAATACAGAAAAACAGTTGGACCAGTAATGATTAGCACTTGCCTCATACAATATTATACATAATTCTATAAACATAAAATATCTTACTGTGCTTCTAAAAAGATGCCAGTCCCCAAAATTCATACTCATCTCTTTCTTCAGTTCATCAATGTTACACTGAGCTAAGACACGGCCATTTATGTTTGCCTGAATAAAAATAAATGCAAGTATAAAGACAAACAAAACAGGAGATACCTGAATTATTAGTGATTAAAAAGTACATTTATATTTAGTACTAAGAAAGTCATTACTGACTAGAAAATACTGACCTAAACAAGTTTATTATCCTATGTAATAATATTGTAAGCATGCTGACTTTGAACAACATCAGCCACTCCGTATTTTTCCAAGTGTCTTAAGCACAAAAGTAAAACAAATCACTCTTCAGGGACCAACCCAAGAGCTAACCCTCCCAACTATTTCCAAAACTACCTACACACTGCCATGAACAATAAACAAAACCGTTAGTTTTTCTCCTCTAATCTCGTAAAATATGAACAGGAACGAAGCTCCCGGGAGGGGACAAAGACATCTGTCCTTGTAAGTATGTCAGTCACAGATAAAAGTTCTAAATGAAGTAAACTCTGACAAGCTTGTTTATCAGTTATATTAGATAACTTCAGCCAAAGAATGTCCACCCACTAATTTCCCAATTTATTAAATTCACCAAAAATGACTGTGTCACCACTGGGTCTCTGTAATTCTAATTTCTGCCAAAAAAGAACAGATGGAATTTTCTTCATTAATAGTAGGTGGGTTGCTGATTTTACAAAATACACAACCTGAATTTATTAACTGTGGCAAAATGATGGAATACTTCTGTTTAAAACTGATGGAATGTTCAGTCTCCAAGTTAATTCTGAAGACATGAGTGTACAGAGCAGTCCTGGGACAGAGGTCCTGCTGCAGAAATGCAAGGCAGTTCACCACACTTAAGAGATCAGGCGCTAGGATGGGCCTCAGAAGCCAGGGCTGCCGGCAGAGCTGAGTGGGAAGAAGATGCTGTCATAATGGAAACAAAACTGCCAAAGATTCAAGTTGGAGGCCTCACCCTCTCCTGACACTACCCAAGCTGCCTGGAAGAGTCAGGTTTGCACCTCAGAAAGGCAGTGCTTGATGCTTTCACAAACAGGGATTAGCACTAGCCAGAGCTGTAAGGAAACTGACGTAAATGCAGTTTATATTTCCTAAATGTAGACTGAGATTAGTAAAATGATATCTATACATGCTCATAATTCTTTACAAAACTTTTTAGATGCCATTCTTTAAAGTATGCAAACATTAGAGGCTTGTTATTAATGTTTACTTTACTGTAGTTCTCTGCTAGAAAAAAACATAAAAAGCATATTTAGTGGCAGTATCTACTATAACAGGGACGCAGCCTTGCGTAACATGGGAAGCCTTCCCTCAATCCCAGGCATTACTGTCCAACTTCATGGTAGCTACTAGAAGGGCAAGAACAGGACCTAGGAAGAAATAAACTCCCTCAAATGTGTTAATCAAACCTATGAGGTTCATCAAATGGGACACACTCATAAGTCCTATTAAGACACAAAAGTAACAGTTTGGGGAAAATGAAGTGTGGTTTACTCTGATAATTATTAAGTCACAAATAAGTAATATAATCAAAGAAAATAACACATAAAAAGGCTTCAAATGTTCTATGCTGCATACTGGAGACATGAGTTATTATTACTCTGTGAAGCTCCATAGAGCTTTGTATTTCTCATCAAGGCATTTCTACTTATATTAGGTCATTTAAAAAATAACACTGTAATGCAGCTACTTTATTTTCTTTTATCCATTTATAAACTAAGAAATAATAGGGCAATTTTAGGATACAAAATAATAAGAATCATGTTTCCATTTGGAGCTTTCCTATTTCAACAGAGCATCCATCTTTGAGAAGCTAAAAACAGAGTGTTCATTGTCCACGGAGCCCCATCTCCCACACCCTCAGTCCTGCTTCCAGTCGGCAGGTAAATATGTACATCACCTTTTTGATGGTTGCACAATACTGAGGCAGCATACTCTGGTCCAGCCCTTCTATTTGTTTCAGTTTCTCACATACTGCATCCACATTCATTGAATTCAGTGATATCACTGCTCCTGAGGCTGGGCCTGACCCCTAGATGAGCCATGGAAAAATACACATATGAATAGCTTTTAATGCCAGATGTACACAGCACAGGACAGAGAAACATTCACAGAGTTGCACTGTGAAGTACTCTGATTAATAACAAATTTTCAAACTAAAGCTAAAAACAGTAAATGTGTATACTATGGGAAATGCCAGTAGGGAATAGATTTAGCTACTGTTTTACTTGAAGGAGTAGCTTGTATTATAGCAAATACAGCCTGATCACAACCACTTTTCTAAGAAGATGGAACATTCCATGAATCAAGCATAGGCTAACTTCTCAAATGTCTGCAGCCTGACCACGGAAGAGTAGGGTGCAGCCCTTAAGGAGGAGTTTAAAAAAAAAAAAAAGGAACAAAGAGGGAAAATTACTGATGCCTATATTATAAAAACACAAAATGTAAAAATAAAAAAAAATCTTTGAAATAATTTTTTAAATGCCTAAACAGCTTTAAATGTCTCTATATACTACCTTAATAATATGACAGCTAAAGTTTTCAGATCTTGATCATATTTTATACCCAAGGAACTTAAAATTTCCCTTTAAGAATCTATACAATAAGCATATAAAATATAAAATATTACTTCTTAACACATATAAAAGTAAATACAATCCATTAAAATTTGGTCTCATTTAAAAGAAAAATCACAATAACAAATAATCTAGTATTTATTTAGAAGAAAAACGTTTTCTGAATGTGGTGACATACTAAAGAAGTATTTGCCCTGTGGTCCATTATATATGGATCGCCTCAATTACAGACGTGGACACTGAAGTCTAAAGAGGTTAAGTTTTGGCTTCAAAGTCACAGAATAAATAGCCAGTTAGTAGATTTGGGCCAGAACCCTAACTTATCAGGTCTTAACAACTTCCTACTTTCCTTTTTGAAAAGTTTAAAGAAACTATAACCTATAGTTATAGTGGACCTCTATAATGGAGAGAAGACAAACGAACTAGCATAGCAGATAAAGACAACGTTCCAAATGATCTGCCCTGTTTACCATTCAATCTAATCTTAAAATAAGTAATATTTATCCTATCCTCAAGGATGTGTAAATTTATATTTTCTATCTTCTACCATTATCAGGACAAAAGTACACTATGACACAGCCAAAACAGCCTAGTAGCCAGTTGTTAAACTTTATTTGTAATGTGAAAACATAAATGATACTGTCTTTATGAACTGATAAGTAAATATATACACAAATAGTATATACACAGCATACATCTATATTACATATAAATACAGCTAGGAAATGAGACCATATTGAACAGGGAGTTGGAGTATTAATTTTATGACAGGGAGTCTCAGCAAGTTAACAAGTATGAGACGGGCCCATAAAAGTTTTAAAATTAATGACTTGGAATATCCTGCACCAAACAGGTTTATTCATAGTTTGTTTTTAATTAAATATAAAATTGAAATATGCCGTATGTTATATGGTCCGAGGTACAATGCTTCAAAAATACTAACAGCAAAACACTAGTATTTCCATAGTTTAGTTTTCATATCTCTACACATAGTTTGATTTTCTGCCTGAATGAGTATAGCCAATATTCAAAACATAATTCCCCAGTATCTACAATGGAAATTTCAAATCCTTTGTATGAATTTTTAATAACCATACTTGTTTTATCTTCCTTTCCTTCTAAACAGCTTTATTGAGTTATAATTCACATACCCTACAATTCTCCCTTTTAAAGTGTATGATTCAATGGTTTTTAGTATATTTGCATAGTTGTAAAACCATCACCATGATTCACTTTATGACATTTTCACATCCCTAAAATGAAATGCCTGTATCCATTAGCGGTCATTTTCCATCCCTCCAACCAACATCCATTCCCAGCCCCTGTCAACTAGGAATCTTTCTGTCTCTAGATTGGCCTATTCTGGACATTTTATATAAATGGAGCCATACAACATGTGACCTTTTGTGTCTGGCTTCCTTCACTTAGAATAATGTCAAGGTTCACCCATGTGATAGCATGTATTAGCACTTCGTTCTTTTTTATTGCTGAATAATATTTATCTTTTAAATGACCTTTAATACTGTCTTCTAAATATTCTTATTCCTCAACCAGTCTCTTCTCTCTGGATACATTTCTACTTTAGATATTCTCGGTTCAAAAAATAACAAATGAACAGTTTGATCACCAAAATAAATAATTAACATACTGGATTATAACTTATTCTATATAGAATGAGTCTATACTGATATAAAGAAATAACTGAATAAGTGAAAATAAATAATTGAATAAATGATTGAGGAATAAAAGACAGCTTTTCCTTATAGAGTTGGATTAATAAATGTGGAGAGAAACAGAGAATTACCATTAAGAAAACATTACAGTAATAGTGGTTGCACATAAGATACATCAATGTGTACTAAAATTAATGGGCAAAAGTATAAGCAGAAACAGGTTATTTGCAGAGTGTCAAAGTATCTTTCCCAAGATATTTATTCATTACAAAGGAAAAAATAAGACTTCACAGTGTTGAAATCCGGCAGACGCCACCTTAACCAAGTGATTAAGGTTGGCATTACCAGGGTAAGACTGCGGCCCAGCACCGACCCTCTAATAGGATGCGCTGAGAAGGGCATCGCATCATTCCTATGGGTCTCTTACCAGGATATATAACCTCCAGAAGACAAACCCAAGCAGAGGAACAATCTGCAAAACACCTGACCCGTATTCTTAAAAGTGGTAATTAAGGTCATGAAAGACAAGGAAGGACCAAGGAATTGTCACAGACCAGAGAACTCTAAGAAATAATTAGCAACAAACACAACTGAATTAGATCTTGGATCAGAAAAATGACATTAGTGAAAAAACTGGTGAAATTCAAGTAAAGTCTACAGTTAGTCAACAGAATTGTACCACTTTAATTTCTGCTCTTGAACAATATACTACAGTTATGAAAGATGTTAACATTAAAGGAATACTATTTTTGTACCTTTTCTTTAAGTCTAAAATTATTTTAAAGTAAAAAGGTTTTTTTCTTAATCCCCAAAAAACTTTATTTCTGACTGTGCTTTTAAAAAGGAAAAGTATAACAGACATGGAGCAAATTAACTCTGCCAGCTTAGGGGGAAATGTAAACTTTTAGAGTATCTTATTTCCACAGGGAATCTGGAAACTCAGCAATAGAGACCTGCTGATAGATACTACTCTTGTCCTTTGAAAGAGAAAGCTCCATATGATTTTACTTTTATGAGTCTTTAAAACTTGCACTTTATCAATTATCTTAAAAATTTCTCAAAAAAACCCACCATTTATCATTGGGCATTATGTAGAAAATATATATTCCCTAATGACTTTTAGAAGCTTTATAAGACAGACACACACATGAACATAAGATCCCTGTGATTCCATCAAAGCTATAGTCTGACTCTAGATTAGATTTAAGTAGGGCTTTATCAAGATAAAGAGTAAATTATCAATAAGTTAAAATATGTTACAATATGCTTCTCTGAGGAGGAGAAATGGTAATTATCTGCCAGGTCGTTGCTAAAGTAATCACATATAATACAATTATTTTGAAACCAAATCAATCTTAGTAACCAAAATAATGATTTTTGGATGGAAATCTCATCAAAGGAAGGAGAAAGAGTACAAAAGTTATAAGGAAAAAGCATACTTAATAATCCAACAGGTAAATTAATAGGAAACTAATTATGTTACTTTGACAATACAAAGGATGATAATATTTTCAAGTTTATCATGCATTCTTACTTGAAATATACCTGCTATAAGTCTAGAACAGATCATTTCAGCAAATATCACAATTTATTTTTTTAAAATTTCTAATGCGGATATTTGAATAAAGAAGATGTTAGTTTGTTTAAACTGTTAAGTATAAACTTCAAATTGCACACAAATCAGAATTTCTTCAGGAAAAAGCAAAGATAACAAAACAGACTAGAATTTACCTTGACATACAACTGTATTGTTTTATATGTAAGTAGATTAAAACTACACTCTGAAACATTATCACTTTGTTAAATTTATTAAATAAGTTTAGAATTGATTAGCCAGAATGAGTGCCATGCAAAGGCTGAAAGCAGCTATTAAAATAAACCCAAGGCACTGAAATAAGCACAGATTTATCAACAGCCCAGCGCGAAAGTGCCAAAGACTGCTTCTAATAGTCTAATAAGAAAAGTGAATAAGATTTCACTGAAAATTTCTGTACCTGTCTCTGTTTGTTAAACCCAGAGTCACACGGCTTTAAAGAAGGAATAAAACAGAATGAAGGACACGAGCTTAAGTAAAACATCAAACAGGTACATAAAATAAACATAGGCAGCACGCTTGTCATTCCTCAGACTTTCCATAACTTTGAACACACCACCTCTGCAGCAGCACAAAGCAAAGAACGCTCACATGCGCACACGCACGCGCACACACACACACACACACACACAGCAGTTTAACATGTGCTTGGTAACTTTACAATTGTACTCTCAAAATTCATTGAGAGTACATTTCCCATTAAACAAATGACTCATAGGCCATACATTCAACAAGGTAACTGGGTAAATAAAACTTGCTCTGAAAAGTCAGTATTCCTACCACATACCAACGTAACATTAATATTTAAATATTCTGATTTTAAAACACTACAACTAAAGTTAACCAATTTAATAATAAGACTTAAGCAGTTGGAATTCACATGATCACTTCATAAAATAAAATATTATCTAGCCACACTACACTTAATGCTCAGAAATATACTTTTCAAACTCCAATTTTGTTCCATTGGGCATTTGGCACATGACAGATGCACTAAAACACCATCTGAAAAGAAAGGCCTTAACAGCCTTACAGCTTTATGCTGTAATGGCGAAAAATATCTGCATACCATGATTAACATAATTATTTTAGTGATGTAGATTTTTCAAAACTCCCATTCAAAGCAGATGCCACTGCTGTTACTTATTTTTCTATACCCATTAGGTTGGTGGCAAAAATGGTTTAGTTA